CCAAAACCCCAAAACCCCAAAACCCCAAAACCCCAAAACCCCAAAACCCCTTAATACTATTGTAATTTAAGAAATGACATTTCATAAATGCTAAAATTTCAATTTTAAATTATTAGTGAGCATTTAAATAGCAGCTTGATCCTGAAGTATATACTAATATTAACCTATAAAACTTAGGAAATATAAAAACTATCAAGCAAATGACTGAACAAAGACAAACTTCAGAAGAATACATCGTTAAGAGCTTCCAAGCTGAAGATCTCGTTAAACTCACAAATGAAGCAAACTAAAGACATCTAGAATACTCTCAAACTAATCCTAATGCCAAAGCTAACATCTATCTTCAATCTGTTGAGACATTAGATGGTTTTGCTGAATGTAAAGGCTACGATTACAACAAGGGTGTTGATTATAATGAGGTATTCAAAACATACATCAATACTGGATTCCAAGCTTCACTACTGGGTTAAGCTATTGAAGAGGTGAACAAGATGATCAAGTGGAGATTAACTGATGAACCAATCGCTGATAACGAGACTGAGGAATATAAAATAATGGAAAACAGAGAAAAAGTTAGATGTACCATCTTCTTGGGATACACATCAAACATGACTTCTTGCGGAATGAGAGAGTATATCAAGTATCTCTGCCAACACAAGATGATTGATGCTATCGTTACTACCTGCGGTGGAGTTGAAGAAGACTTCATGAAGTGCATGGCACCACATTATCTCGGAGATTTCTATCTCAAGGGAAAAGATTTGAGACTACAAGGCTTGAATAGAATTGGTAATTTGGTCGTACCAAATGCCAACTATTGCAAACTAGAAGCATTCATGGTTCCAATCCTACAAACTATGCACAAGGAGTAAAAGGAGAAGGGTGAGATCTGGTCTCCTTCAAAGATTATTAATAGAATGGGATAGGAAATCAACAATGAAGATAGTATTTACTACTGGTGCTGGAAAAATGACATTCCAGTATTCTGTCCCGCTATTACTGATGGAGCCATCGGAGATATCATCTATTTCCACTCTTACAATGAGCCAGGATTCATTTGTGATCTCAGTTAAGACATCAGAAAACTCAATGATCTCGCATTGAATGCTAAGAGATCAGGTTAACTTATCATTGGTGGTGGAGTTATTAAGCATCACATTTGCAACGCAAACTTAATGAGAAATGGAGCAGATTACTCTGTTTATATCAACACAGGATTTGATATGGATGGATCAGACGCTGGTGCTAGAGCTGATGAAGCAGTATCATGGGGGAAAATTAAATTAGATACTAGACACGTCAAGGTCTGGGCTGAAGCTACTCTCGTTTTACCTATTTTGATTGGAGAGACATTTGCTAAGAATTTCGATCTTGCCAAGAGAACTTTATGACTGAGCTTCCCTTTAATTTAGTGCTCTGATGCAGCTGAAAACAGAGGCTTAACCCGAGTCTCAGGTGATGAAATTTCACAAAAATATTATTCACCTTTTAATTATTCTTAAAACACTCATACCCATAGATATCTTTTTTCTTCTAAATTCAACCTTAGGGGTTTTGGGGTTTTGGGGTTTTGGGG